TGGATTCACGTGGCCGGAAGACATCAAGGTGGATGTCTTAGGACAACACCTGGCCGGTAAGGCACAGACGTACTATCGTCGTCAAGTGGAGACTTGGTGGTGTGAAAGTCAAACCCTGGAGCATGCTATGCAAAGGCTGCTTCAGACCTTCAGCACTAAAATCACGCCTGCCCAAAGCATGAAATTGTTTACGGCTCCCAAGGCACCTCACAGAAGTTGGACGGACCATTTCCTGTACCTGACGGCAGTCAGTGATGCTTGCGGAGGGGCAGATACCCTGGTGTTGGATAACATCGTCCATTATGCAGACCCGCATATGCGAATGACCATGATGTCCAGGCTGGACATTCATCGAACCGACTGCTTGCGCCAAGCCGAGGAATTGGCAAAGTTCGCCCAGTCAACGGAGATTGACAACCACGCGAAGCATCTCGGACGTGACGTGGTCAATGCTGTTGAACCAAGAAAGGAGTCAAGAGACAAGGTCAAGCACAAGGTACTGAAAGAATCAAATGACAATGACCAACGAACGTGCTACAGATGCGGCGAGGTGGGACATATCAAGTCGATGTGCCCCAAGAGACAGATGTCCAAAGTCCCAAGACCAAGTTTCACATTTGCGATCGACAATGGTGATCGTCTCCAAGACAATCACTGGATCCTCGACAGTGGGTCGAGCAGACTCCTTGTCAACGACTTGTCTCTGCTCGTCAACCCGAGCGACCGTCGAAACGAATGCTTGACAGCTGCAACAGATGGAGGTGTGCTCCGGATTACCAAGCAAGGGAGTGTCAACATTGAAGTTATTGCACTCGGGGTTGTGAATTCCATCCAACTTCTCGATGTACAGTACGCCGCGAACCTCGAGCGAAACATCATCTCGTATGGTAAGCTCGAGGCTAAGGGATGTGTACTTGAGTACCGAGGAGAGAGACGTGTGTTAACCTCTGGTTTTGGAGGTGCACCGGTTATGGATGTGGAGTGCAATAACAATGTGCTAGTTGTTGCAGTGACAGGATTATGCAACAAGACCTCACATTTACCACCAAGGGAGATGACGGCTGCGATCAATTCACCTGAATATAACTCCGATTCGGATGTTCAGAGTGGTACCTTGATGCAATTCCATCGTCGCTTGGGTCACCTGTGTTACGAAACGATCATCAAGATGGCCAAAGACCCGGCATCTGGTATCAGGCTGACTGACACGAGGCGCATGAATTGCTTGGCCTGTGCACAAGGCAAGCAAACCAAAGCATCACAGTCACGAAAAGACTCAGGCCAAAATTCTCCCATCGATGTGATCGGTGGAGTAATTTGCTCCGACCTCAAGGGCCCAATGACTCCAAGGGATCGTCTGGGTAACCGTTACCTGGTCAATTTCATTGACCACAGGTCAAATTATTGCCGTGTATTCTTGGCCAGATCCAAGGATGTTGCTGCCCTCAAGTTCAAGCACTTCCTGATGAGCTTTGAACGAGAGTTCAATTGCAATATCCACGTACTATGCACGGACGGAGGTGGCGAATACAAGACCTTGGACGTGTTTTGTAAGACGAATGGAGTCTCGCGTCAAGTCAGTGAAGCCAGAAATCAGGCAAGTAACGGCAAAGCTGAACGGATGCATCGGACAATTATGAATATGGTCCGAAGCATGGTGTTTGCTTCAAACCTGCCTTTGCATTTCTGGGGCGACGCTGCTGAGTATGCAACTTACATTCTCAACAGAATCAGGACCAAGTCGAATCCAGGTGGGGTGTCTCCGATGGAATTTTTGACCACGAAGGTGCCAAACCTGAACGACATCGTGGCGTTCGGCTCCACGTGCACGGTGCACGTGGATGCAAGGAACAAATCACTTGGAGAGCGAGGGAAGGCGGCCATCATAATTGGAAAGAGTGATGAGACTAAGGGGTACAAAGTGTACATCCCCAAGGACAAGGTGGTCGTGGTAACGCAGCACGTACGCAACATCGAAACACTGTCGGATGGGCGTAACGGTCAAGACTACTCGTACACCGAAAGGATTGAACATCAGGAGGAGATATCAACCGATGATCAACAGAAGGTTCAAGTACCTTCAAGTGTCAAGAAACGGGCGGCGAAAGCTCGAAGTGGCCGTAAGCCCGGATGGACTAGGGAACGACACGGCACAAGGTCAACGAGCAGACGTGCTAAGAAAGTTGTTGGTGAAGGCCCTGCTGAACGACAGGATGTCGTGAATGCAGTCATCGCTCAAGATCCAAAGCACTATGGCGAAGCCATGCGAAGTGGTGATCGCCAGAAATGGACCACGGCTATGACTGAAGAGTTGGATGCTCTGAAGTCAAACGGCGTGTGGACGATTGTACTACCACCGAAAGGTGCACACGTCTTGCACAACAAGTGGGTCTATAAGACCAAGACTGATGCAAACGGGGACGTGGAGAGGTACAAGGCTCGCCTGGTGGTCTGTGGGAACGAGCAAGTGTTTGGTGTCGATTATACCCTAACGTTTGCTGCCGTCATGGATTTGGCAACGGTAAAGTTGATTTTGGTGCTCTCCAGGCGTTGGAACGTGCCTGCCCGACATGGTGACGTTCCCAATGCCTACGTCAAGGCTGAAAAGGAGGAGCACCTTGACATCTATATGAAGGTGCCCAAGGGCATGGTTTTGAGTGACCAAGAGCTTAAGTTGCATGGCGTGGAAACATCAAGTGACCTGGTCCTCCTGTTGAAGAAGTCACTGTACGGCCTCAAGCAAGCTGGAAGGCTTTGGAGTAAATTACTTGATTTAAAGCTACGTCAAGGTGGTTTCCAACAATGCACCACGGATATGTGCTTGTACTACAAGTACAAGGGTGAGACGTGCACGGTGGTTGGCGTCTACGTGGACGACCTATTGGTCACAGGGACTGAGCAAGGGGCCGTGGATGAATTTTTCATGGAGATGAGCTCGCTGTCCATCAAGGACCTAGGCGTCGTCAACAAGTTTCTTGGTTTACGAATCAATTTGAACGACGAGACAGGATACGTTCTGGACCAAGAAGTCATGATCGACTTACTGTTAAAGGAGTTCGGACTGGATTCAGCTAATGGGGTGAGGACCCCAATCGGGGACGAGTGCAATGCAGAAGACGAGGACACTGTGGAATACCTATCTGCGAAGGGTGCAAAGGGCGAACCAAGTGTGAAGTCGTTCCAGTCGCTGGTTGGGAGCCTGTTGTGGATAGCAAGGTGCACGCGTCCTGATATCTGCTTTGCTGTTCACAAGGCAACTAGGCAGACACACAAGCCAACGACAAAGGACTGGAAGATCGCAAAACGTATTGCAGGATACTTGAAGATGTCGAAGGGCTTGAAGTTGCACCTCAATGGTGTTGGACCTACATCCAATGATGTCCAGGTCGAATGTTGGAGCGATTCCGATTTCGCTGCCGACAAGTCTGATCGCAAGTCAGTCTCCGGGTGTGTCCTCACTTTGGATGGAGCCGTCGTGATGTGGACGTGCAAGAAGCAGTCCGGTGTGTCGTTGAGCACGATGGAAGCGGAATTCATCTCTGCGTCACAAGCGGGACGTGAATTGCTGGGCCTACGAGAACTACTCGGCGAATTGAAGCTGAAGATAAGCGAGCCCATGCCGATGTGGGTTGACAACCAAGCGGCAATCAAGCAACTCGAGTCCGAGAAGAGTACCTTAAGCGCGAAGCATGTGGACATTCGATTCAAGTTTATACTCCATCATGTGCGTGAAGGTGTTGTGCAACCAAAATTTATCAAGTCTGAGGACATGATGGCGGACATATTGACCAAGACGTTACCGGCACCAAGAATGGAAGACCTGCGAGCGATGTTCAAGTTGAAGTCCATCCAGGATGCGGTTGAGGAGGAGTGTTAGAAGCTATTGTTGCTGATAGGCCGTGAAGGTCAAGGGCAATACCCTGTTACGCGGTAAGTAACAACCGTACCTGATTGACTAAACAGATTTGACGTGCTGACAGATGGGACGAGGCGACGATATCGCCACGTCGGACCATCAGGATGTTGCGACATATGGGACGAGGCGACGAGATTACCACATCGTCTTGTCGATGTCGTAACAGATGGGACGTAGCGGGATAGACGTGAACTATAGATGGTATAGTTGCAGTCGGTTTCGCATGCATGTGTAGGTATTAACGAACGAGGAAAGTTAATGCTTAATATATTTTACTTTTACTTCTACCTCTACGTGCACAAGTGCACCACTACTTCACTTCAATCTAACATTTATATGCCAAATTAGTAATACAATACGTTTAAGGAGACGTCGCGGTCATCGAATTCGACTCGTCATGTGTGGCCTGTGAAGCAGCATGATGCCATCCGAAACAAGCAGTGTGTTACGTCCCCGGTGCCAGCTAGATATCAATTGGCGCACACACAAGGTGTAGTCTCTATAGCTCGTTGATCTCAGACGCATTGAACTAAAAGGGTATTTAGTTCTACAATAACAATTGTAATTAAACTATCTATTATTCTTCTAGCGAATGTTGGGTTTGTAGCTCACTCTAAACTCATAGTTAAAGGTAGTGTTCCTCATCTTTTCATTTACACCCGCTACGTGCACCTTCCTCTTATGCAAGGATGTCCGATATAATGCATGAATGATGGTTTCTTGACAGTGAGCCAGAAAGTGTACTACATCGTCAAAGCAGCAGCCATCACTTGTAGACGCAATACTGGCGCCCTTGGCTTTATACATGCACATCCGAGTTTGCGTCAAAAGACACGCCCCGCTTTCGATTGTTAGACGCGATTTACGGGCCACACGCCGAGGAGATCTACAAAAAACTCGGCATTCTGTCCTGAACGTAAATGTCTCGCAAAAACGTGCAACGGTTGTGTACCGACGGACACTCGTAATCACAAAGACAACGATTGACAGGGTGTAGGCGTAAAGGGGTAAGCGACGGCAAAGAAGTTGCTGATGCCCGCCAAGGACGTGACTGATAAGCTGCAGCAGGACTCGTTTCATTAACTTACAGATAAATCGTCTTAGACTGGTCGCGCTTGGCGTGCAGAACGATAGAGTCGACGACGTACTCGTTAAAAAGAAGACAATCTCCATTAGCAAAACGCAACCGCTTCTTGTGCACCAAATCCGGATACAGGTCGTCCGTTAGAATTTGCACGTACTGTGCCGCTGGAGTCGTATCCGGTGACAGCCTAACTCGAGACGTTGGCAAATATATCACACACATCGACAACAGGACGATAAAAATGCATCCTGCCACTGTCACATACGCGGTCGCAGTCGGGACGTTAACTTCAATGTCTATCGTATCAGCAGTAGCAGTGTCATTGCCAGGGCCAGATCCATTTGATACCATTACAGCAGATAACACGAGACGCCTCCTCGACATGACATCTGCATACAAGGTCGGAACTCCACGCTGCAGCAAATAAAACAGCGCTGCAGAGAGTATATCTTGCGTTCTTTGACCGTCGAGGTAGAAGTTATTGCTTTCGAGATGCATCAGATATGCATCCACTAGAGAATTGCATTCAAACGAGCTGGGGTGCATAAGCTTTCCATTGGATGATACCATTCGGTGCCATGACGTAAGTGCGTCGTTGTCGGAGCGACTCGTGTCAGTGATCATGGCTGGATGCAACGTCACAAGTGCGACAGGATGTACAGTGTGCTGCGTGGACAACGCTTCCTTACCGACAAGCAGCGCACCTTCATCTGTTGCAAGCGGCAGACTCAGACCGAGGCAGTGATACTCGTCGTCAGCCGCACACGCAGCATCGTAACGAAGGTGGAGAGGAGTTAGCTTCCACGTCAGTTTACTCAATGAAAGTGTCAACACTTCATGTGGAGCTTGTTCAGCTGCTCCCAAATCCAGCACGTACTGGCTTGTAGCGCTATAGACCAAGGCGGAGTTCACGTCTTTCTTATTCGACGCAATTGACACGTGTGGATGCATATGAAACTCCTCCAGGACGCTCGCACGCGTGGCATACACACAGCCAGATGCTCCACATAAAGTAGTTCCCGTATTGTCCGCCTCAAAGGGAATCGAAATTGCCAAAGTAATAAACTCCACATCTTCCGCAACTTTACGATGCTGCAAACGCAAAATCAGATCGCTCAATCGAGCTCTGGTAGATAATATTACCTTAAGGTCGCCCGCAACTGCTCGGATCAAATCTTCAAGTGACAGAGGAGTTGCTGCATCAACTAAAACACCTGCCAAACCCAAATTTGCAATGCTCTGCTGAAAGATCGAGTACAGCTCCACAGGATCCCAATCGTCAGTGATCCCGTTCTTTTTACGATTATCCAAATTGTCCCGCATCAGCATTTCGGCAGTCTTCGTTGGCACGGTTATATCCGATTTCAATAGAGCACTGTTCCACGCGTGCGATGGAAAGCTAAAGCTTACGGACGTGGTGTCCACGTCATCCGGCCACACTCCCCACTGTTGCTCTGCACTTTTGTTCCCTTGCTCCACAGATTCGCAGGTATTTTCAAAATTAAATGGCGTAGTAAAACCTGTTAACGACGTCCGCAGGATTGAGTGCAGCAAGTCTGCGTCCGAATCCATAGCCCACGGAGTCTCCATCTGATTCAACATTTCCGTCAATTCGTCTGATGCAGTGAGACGTCGCGTTGTAGCACTGGGATCCAGCGTGGTTTGACCCACGTAAAGACTCGTAAAACCGACGTTCATGAGGATAATAACCGTCTTGAGACCCCAAAAAATGCAGCGCGTTTTGGCGACCGAGTGCATCCGCGCCGGTTGGTCTCCTGGATACAAGCTGCAATTGTGCAAATATGTGGCCAGGGTAGGGAAAATGAGCGTCTCGCAAAAGACCTCAAAAACCTTTCCACCCCCAAACACAATATAACCAAAGAGTGTATTGTAGTCCTCCACAACGGATGACGCCTTGGCTGACAGCGTTTCATTGGCTGCCAATTTGTTTTCATACACGTATGTAAGTGTCTTCTTGTTGCTCGTAAGTAACGCGAATCCAAACGCGAAGATCAGAGCCGCTACCACGCACATAATGAAGCGCCCAAGTCGCAGGCTCATGTCCACGATCGTGTTGCAATCGGCCAGCGCGTTGGTGCGCGCCATGTCGTTCATCGTTGATTCGCCCGAATTAAAGCTGCGGTGCAAATAGTTACCGCCAGTGTTAGGAAGAAATGCAGGCGTGAAGCTGCTTGATTTCGAGGCAACGCCAGCACACGACATTGAGTAGCCGCCATTGGCGTCTCCTGAAACGCAATGAGGTGGTCGGCTCATTTTTACAAAGTGACGGATGTAATTGCGATGTAGCGATCGCGAGTTGAGTACCTTTTATGAGTAATTTCAGCTCCGATGAATCCTGACGCGACTAGATGCAGCTGTCCAAACCGACCGTAAACATACGTTCGTAAGCATAATAATTTATACAAATACATTCAATTGAGTGGGTAGGTTCATAAATCGATTTGACAACTTAATCAGCCGATAGACAACAATATTGAATAAAGCATACTTAAATCAGCTCGATCGTCTATTCCTTGGTTGTAACAAGAAGCATCTGCTGGCGGTGGCGTTTTCAAGTCGCCCAGAGCTTAAGCAGAAATTGAGTACATAATGCGCTATGCCGAGCGCCGGCAGCTGGAGAAGGACCGCATATCGTCGTACACGGACGACGCCTTCGAGTGCGAGTCGCCGCACGCCATTCTCGCCAGCAGCCGCGGACTGCGACCGGATCAGCGCAGTAATCTGCAAGTGGCAGCAGGGCCTTCTTCGTACACGACGGTGGATAACCTACGCGCACATTGCGTGAGCGACGGTGATGGACACGAAGCTGTAACGTACGGAGAACTGGCCCAGCCACGACCCGAGATCATCCTCCGATGGAAGCGGTTTGTCGTGCTCGTGGTTCTTGTGGCTACCGTCATGACGGTTGTATCCGCATGGCTGCGCGAGGGCTTCGTGGTGGATAAGGGCGTTCCTGTGAGCAAAGCAGAGAACAAGGTGGACGCTGTCAACTCGTACATCGGTCTGATGATGGGCTTTATTGAGTCTTTCGTCGGTCTCGGCGTGGAAGAAATTTTTCCTGTGTTTGTCGTGTATCTGCACAACCTGAGATGGTACACGGGGGACGACCCCGCGACTAAGAAACAGAGCAAATTTAAGAAGTTTGCGCTTACGATCTTTATTCCTACGGTCATGATGGCGGTAGGCAGCTCGCTCTCTGCAGTGCAAGCTAACCAGAAAGATTACAACGCAGCAAGAAGTATTGCGACGACAGCTTCTACGACTACGACGAGGTTCTTGGTGGAGGAAGCGACCGAATTGAACGGTAATGGACTAGGAGACACTATCTTGAAGACGGCGTTGGCCCGGAAGGTGGAGCCTATGCTACCACTGAAAATGTCCACGTGCAGCTCCAAAAAGGCAGACTCGTTTTCCGCGGAGGCTTTGCTAGCGGCAGCCCCGAAGGCTGTTTTTGGATTCCCTTTAAAGGAGTGGGGCGCCGAGTTTGGAAATGGCTGGTCGCGTGGAGGCTCTTCGAAGCACTACGAGGTTTCGCAGACTGGGGCTAGAGATGCGGGCGGGGCAATGCAACTGAGTGACGTCATGCCACTTGCTGCAGCCCACGAGTTATGGATGCACGGAGAACCTATATTGCTGAAGAGTATGAGGGCTGCCAGAAGCAGTCAAAAAAGCCTTACGCCATCGAGCCTGGACGAATTACTGGATAGTATTTTGAAGTCTTTGTTCGAAATGGAACTACCTTTGGCCCATGCTGCTGCTCTTGACGCTTCGTTCGATACGTTAGAGTTGAGCTCTAATATGGATTTAGATGTGATGACCTTAAAAGTACCGCTGCGCAGTCCAAGGAATGCGTCTGTCGTTTGTGGCGAAAGCCGTTGTGGGTTGCTGCAGCAGCGGCTAAACATTAGCCAGCAGTTACCCCGCAAGCAAATAGGTATGACGCAAATGAATGGAAATTGCTCGCATTCGGTAGATTGTGACAGAATCTCCAATGCTGCATTCCTGTATGGTTTTACGACTGTGACTACCGCTGAAAGCGCGACAGTTGTTTTAACGAGGTCGTTAGTTTTATCATTCGCGCGTCTGTCGTGGCAATTTGACAGAGCTGCGTACGCGTGCGAGGCTGGAGCAGACCGCAAAGAAGGCTGTCAAGTACTGCGTCACCAGCTTGGCGATAGCGACCGTCACTTGGTTCTACCGAAGCAGTGGCTTCCAGCTCAATTTCAAACTGGCAGTCCGGCTGCATCAATTTCGCTGGTGCAGTTACTGGAACCCAACATAAGACAAACTTCTGGTCAAGCACTGTCGCTTGCGACGCTGGAGCATTTAGAATCGTGGCCTCAAGACAGCACTGACACATGCTCTGTTGCCGTGGACACATTACTTCAGTATGTAAACAGCAATCATTTTTACATGGGTGACGATATAGCGGAGACGATGGCAGCGTCTGCGTTGCTCTTTATCTTTCAGAATGCTCGGGTCCTAGATAGCGCACCAGGTATGAAGATTATGGTCCAACGACGTCTCGTTGATACGACAACACGCCGAGTAAAGGTGTTCTTGACGAATACTAAGGTGGGCAACAGATGTACGTGGACGGGTTGCGGATTATTGCTGCTGCTGACTGCCTTGGTCTTCCTGTTACCAAACGAGCGCGCTCGACTTTCACCTCCGCGTGGAGGTAACGCACGTGCTGAGAGGTTTGTGGCTGTGCAGACGGAACAGGTTTATCCCAATTTAATTTACAAGAAGCGCTTTCGGATCGGCAAAACTGGCGAGGAGATAAAGTTCGGCGAGTTCGCCGTCAAGTCTGTTGGACTACACCACGAGATGGAGGAGGACGAGCAGATTTACATTTGATCTTGAATGTCTTTTTTCTAGTACAAATGAATTGATTGAGACGAAACAAAATTGATTAATGAGCTGTTAAGCTATCGCCTTGTTTGAAACTCATAAAGCATCACTGAATACGTGCATGCGCTGCGCACTTCACTATATTTGCCTAGTCGCAACATTGGCCGTCTAACTGCGCTAATGTTTTTCTCTGCAAGATGCTCAATGTATCGGCATTGCTTCGCACCTAATACAATTCCAGCTTTCTTAGACAGTTCCGTGTGGGCACTTGTACCGGGCTAATAGTTACACGAGTCCGTTAAGTATATCATACTTAACGGGGAGGTCTTAAAAGGTACGTGGTACCTTAGGCCTGCCACTTGGGTGTGGCACATCAATGTGACCAATCCTCGTGAATGAGATGTCCATGGATAAATTCACATTTAAAGGGGATGACGTCCAGTTGAGACTAGGCGTCATGGTGACGTTACAGACGGACGTCATCTGCAAGCTTTAATATTATTAAGCTCGCACGTTGGGATACGCATCTAAAGAGACGCGTATCCGAGGCTTTGAATGTCCCTCAATATGAATTGAGGACAATATCTCCACCTCTCCCAATATCATAGTGAGTTGGCAGAGCATATGGCGCAGGGACTTGGTAAAAAAGCCTTGGTCAATCTCTTTCATTGTCCTCCTGAGCAACATGTTGCTCAGTTGGAGCAATTTGAGGCGTTTGTGCTCGGACAGCGTAAAGACGTGTCCGAGGTAAACAGCCAATCAACGGCTGAGTTCATCAATAAGACTCAGGATGAGCTTAGGCGTGAGCAAGCTCGGAATGAGGCGCTCAACAGAACTGTTCAGACGCTATCTGCCCGGCCTGCTCAACCGAGGCCCATTCGGATGGACCCTCCGAAGTTCGATGGAACTAGCCCTCACACGATTGTTCACTGGCTATTAGCAGTTGAGCGATGTGGAGTGGCGCAGCTCATCGAAGACGACACCAGAATGGTGCCGTATGCCATGTCCAATTTGCGTGACAAAGCGTCAGAGTGGGCTTACTCTGCGCTGATGGCTAATGCTGATGCATTTCCATCATGGGCGATCTTTAAGGCAAAGATTCGCGCCATGTATCAGCCGCCTAACAACGAAGTGTTGCTTATGGCGCGCTTCTTTGGAGCACGACAGGCGAAACGCTCTCGGCAAGAATTTGTGCAGGAGATGCGTTCGCTGTCGGCGTCCATTAATGGGGAACCGATACCAGAACGTATCAAGGTGGACACGTTCATGAATGGACTTACGCACGGCCCATCGCGTCAGGACCTTTTTTGAAAAAGTGCCAATGACGATGGAAGAGGCAATTGAAATTGACATAGTTGAGGAGGAATCCTACAACAGTGCCTCGGCGACAGCTTATAATAAGCCGGAGGCCGAGAAGTCTGATGACACTCCTATGGAGTTAGGCAATGCAGACGTGGTCTGCTACAAGTGCGGCAAGTGCGGCCATATGAGGGCTTTGTGGTAAAGTGGGATCTCAAACGACGTGAGAGAACCACAAACACACACAGCGCCGGACTGCCGACTTACGGAGAGGGTACCCCGATACCGTGTCATGTCAACCTTGGGTCTCACCTTGTGTACCCGTCGGATTGGCTGGTCTTGCTCCTCGTTAGACGCAAAAGACTTATAGACTTGATCCTAATGTGCAGGGACTGCCCACGAGTGGATATACTTTACTCGGGCCCGGGGTTTCTTGGGCTCGATTGACTGAGTCGAGAGCAATGCACCTGGTACTATGTACCCCTTCGGTAGCTAACTGTTTCTTGGTCCTTGGACCCCTTTTTCTTGTTCCCCGTAGGAAGGGCGCTTGACACTTTAGGCCAACTATCCTGAGGTTCAACTTTCGTTGCTTGAGCTGTCAACTCACCTGACGTCGGGGGCCAAAGGGTATTCCGCTTGGAATAGGTGAGGTGACGGAGAAGCTAAGAGGAGGCGCTTAGAGCTTCCAAGCAAATTCGAGTGTGTTTATTTGTCTTATTCTTTGTATGATTTTCTTGCCTAACCCTAACCCTTCGATCTGGATAATGCCACGTGTTCACTTCTCAAAGGAAAGCTGGCTCTTATAGGGGTTCGGGCCTTGTACCGGCTCTGCACTGTATATAAACCTTGTACCTTCTCTGACTTTAGGACCACCTCGTGGTCGTGGACCCTGTCATTCTTATGAGGGAGTGACCGGGACCTCTCACGCTAGTTATTATAATAATTGCGATGGGCCTTCATTCTCGTGGCACTTCTACACAGCTATCCCCTGCGCGCTGGTCTTCCGAGCTGCGTCAAGACCCCGTGCTTCCTTGTCCTTTCTTTTAAGCGTAGCAGTAGATGTCCATGTGCTTGTTACCTAACCGTATTCACCAACTTACAAACCATTTCATATGCCAGTGACCGCTCCGATTTCTTCGCCGACGATCTCCCAGCACCTTGACGTTGGTCTGCCCCCGCACTTCCTGGACCCGACTTTATCCTAGTCATTTCGACTGTAGACCTCGTCGGGGCGCCCCCTGATTATGCGAGTGTCGCTCAGGCGTAGGATTATAAATAACGAATGGAACGTGCCCACCCTCGCTGAAGATCATAGAGTCTTTTAGCAGGCCTATCAGACTCAGCATCTCCGGGCCTAAGACTTGCAGTGCCGCGTAAATGAGGTCATCCTATTTATAGAAGTCGATATCATTTGAATATAAGCTCGAAATAAAAACCTCGTCTGCAATCACAAACAGGCCAGCTGAATATCGCGGATTACCAAGATGCGTTCGTCAACCAGTAGACTACTGTCTTTTAGTCGAGGCGTTTAGGTCCATTATACGCAAGGGGCCAGTATGAAGTTGCTGTGACGGATGTCACGGTCCAAGTCGAAGAAGTGGAGGCTAGTTGGGCACCGCCGCGGCCTACTTTCAGGCCAAGGCATCTTAAGTATCGCGACTCCAGGATGAGCTGGCCCGATACAAGGCTCTTGGTAAACTGTTCGTCCAAAAGCAGGACCAGCTTCAGAAGCAGCTAGCAGTGGCTCGAAGCGCCGCAGCAAAACTTCCCGGCTTATGGTCAAGGCTCCAGGACTCTCAAAGGCTAAAAGGTCTCGATCGCCCGCTGCCAAGGTTCCGGTTCGTTCCACATGTAAGAAGCGCCGGACTACTTATGTCTATAGTTCCAACAAAGACGAGTCCAGCAGAAGCGATTAGTCTCTGTTAGCCGCGATGTACTAGTCGCGTCTTTCCCGTCGTCGTTATGTCCCGGCGTCTTCTGTGGAGGAACCTGATTAAGAGGTTATTTACTTGTCCAGTGAATTATATCTCGGTAATTGATCAAGATCGGCGGGGTCCACTATGATTTCTAAGCTGGACATCCTCTTACATTGGCGGGGTACACTGGTAAACTCCGGTCTGGTCCTCCTCCAAATTGGCGGGGTCCACTGGTAAATCCGGTCCGGTCCTCCTCCAAATTTGCGGGGTCCAATGGGAAACCTAAGTCTGGTACGAGCCCTAGAGCACAATCATCACCTGCTGCTTCCCCCAAAAGGAAGATACGCGTACGCCTCATACCGATCAGTTCATCCAGCTTTTTGGCCACTTCGAGTTCGACACTGAAAGCCTCGACTCCGATGATCATGAGGTTTCAGCTTCCAAGGGTCCTGCTGGTTCCAACGCTTGGGGCCCGTCCATGCCTAGATATTCACAGCCAGTTGTATTCAGAACCGAAGACGTTGCCCCATGGCCACTTTCTATGGCAGGCCTCTTGCGATCATGCGATTAAGCGTGAAGGATATATGGTCCGACGTGACCATCCCGGCCTCGTGGATGGAACCAGGCTCCTCTATGTTCAAAGCATCCAGTGTCCCCCAGGATGAGAGTAAGAGTCTCCTAACGGAACCTCAGCTCCAGCTGTTAATTGACGCGCGTCCGTGTTAACAGCAGCCGGTACTTGGATATCCTCGTTCCCTTCCGTAAATGTATGGTTTGTTGCCTGGTGTAGATCCACGATCCCTACGTAGATGCATCACACCAGAGCTTGTGGGAGGACCGGCACCGCCTATATTTTTCTGTGGATCTTCGCACCAGCAGCAACTATATCGCTCGGCTTTAAAACGCCAAAAAAAAGCGGCAGACTAAGGCTACGAAGGCTAATTTTGGGGTGCAGAAGAAGGTTCTGCAAAAGATGGTAGCAGGTCACTACGACCTGAACATCCGCTTACCCCCAAACGTCAGCTGTCTTTCTGATACCCAGGTGTCAACCAGGTAAATTCTTATGCGAGGCTGTTAAAGGCGTTGCAGGTAGAGAATGATGCTGACCCTTGGCGCATCTTTTATCACAAGATCATCCACGAACATCCCGCCTTCCGGTTTCCCGTCTCCATGGTATGTTTTCTCCGCTTGACGGTAACTAAGGTTCGTGGATAGCTTTCCGCGTATTCATCGTAAGCTAAAAATCTCATTTCATTTCATGACTCCATAGTAAACTCCCGATCTTCCTTTTTAAGGCCATGTCTTAGATGAGGCCCAATGTCCTCTACAGGTTAGCAATACTTCTCTCTTCTTGCTCTGCTGCACTTCTCGAATACATAAGTGGACTACTTTCTGTGCAGACAACAAATACCATCTCCTTCTGGGATCATCTTGGCCTTCCCACGATGAACTCTCCCCTCGACTACTCATGAATCTGCATCACCACAAAACGTTTCCGAGTGACTTGCCTGCGTACGTAGTCCTCAAGTAGTCCACCGCATTGAGATCCACCTCGTCTACCCACGACGGATCGGAGTATCCTTTCCACTGCACCAGGTATTCACATTGAATACGACCATACCAAGTTTTTCTTCCCATGCGCTTGTCAAGAATCATCTCCACTTCATACTCATTGTCCTCTAATTCTGCAGCCCATCTATCCTCTGGTAACAAGGCTTCGTCAAAATCCACCCGATCCGTTTCGTCCACCCCCCCCCAAAATCATATTCGGTCTGTCAAGATATTGCCGGA